GCGGTCTTGGACCCCTCGGCGTACGGGAGCTCCCCCAAGCCTCTCAAGTGCAGAGGTCCGGGGTTTCTCCTTCATCAAGGGACGTTTATCCCTGGATTGGGCCTCTTGGGAGGCGGTATCCTGCGCCATGACCCCTTCGGCGTTTCCAATCCCCGGGGGAGGATTGTTGAACAGAGGAGGGAGCGGTGGTAATTGAATAACATTCCCTCCAGCGTAGGGCTGGAGGGGTGCCTGAGAGGCGAGGGCTCCGGAATTGAGAGCCATGTTTTGAACAAAGGCCGCAAAGGCAGCCTGAAGATCGATGGCCGAGGCCGGAGGGGGAACTTGGTTCTCACTCCGATCCCTCCTTCGATTATCAAGGCCAATGCGGGCATCAGGGGCGTTCTTCTGTAGCTGCTGACGGAGGTCAGCGGTAGCCTGCTCCAATTCGAGGATGATACCACCCTCCGGCACTAAGAGCCTGTTGGAGGCCTCAGCCCCGTTGGTTTCGCCGGGAGCTACGTGGTTCTCCTCTAGGGTTTTGGATTGGGCACGAGTGGTTCTTCCCATTTTTTTTGTATTTGGTAGAGGGGGAGAATTTCTTACTTGATAGTTCAGACCTCTCAACGAGAGCACCAAATGATGGATAGTCTACCCGGGGGGTATCTTATCCGAGGGGTTATTGCGGGAATAACTTAGAGAGAAGTCAGAGCAAATAGGAGGAGAGAGAGTCGATTTTATTAAAATGAACTCCGCGTGTGTAGATGAGATGTAGATGATCCTCTTACAAGGAGAAATGGGCTGCTATTTATAGCAGCAATAAATGCGATGAGAGGACACGTGTCAGTAATCCAACGGCCGAAGGGTCACATCAGCCGGCTGGCACCGGCAGTGGTACGTCCACCGCATTGAATGCGGTTGGCGGATGTGACGTGGTTTTAAATGCGGTGGTTGGATGTCTCTAAAAGGAATCTTCGATGATTGAACATGTTTGGCCGAAGGCTCCTTGTGTAGCCGAGGGCTCCATGTAACCGAGGGTTCCATGTGACAAGGTCCCTTGTGTGGCCGAAGGCCCCATGTGGCCGAAGGCTTGGTTCAGCCGAAGGCTTCTCTGATGCCGAGGGCATGACAATGCCGAAGGCTCACGTTTTCGCCCGTTTTCTCCCAGCAGCTTCTTATGCCAAAAAGGCTATCCTGTGAGTTCTGGAGCCTTCGGCCAAGGAGGCCGAAGGCATCGCAGTGTGTATTCTGAGCTACTTTGAGGCTTGGGCCGTTGTATTTGGGCCTGAGTTGTTTCCTGGGCTCAATGGACTTGTGTAGGAGAAGTAGGAGTCTATGGGCCGGGGGCTCCTGGGCCATATACTCCATCAGACAGGTTCTGCTTAAATTAATCACTTTAAAGCTAAAAACTGAAAGCAGGTTGAGGGGTGCTTTAAACTGCTTTTCACTTTTTCTATTACACAAAAAGAACTCATTTTATCAAATACTACCAACTTTTACTTTTTCAGAATCATTTTTCTCAAACATTATCAACTTTTACTGTTAAACACTTTTTCCAAAATCACCTTAAAAATCACTCTTTTTAAAGTAAGAGCAATCGCAAACACTCCTTTAGTATCACAGATAGAGATGAGATTATCATTTAAAGTGGACAAAACTGGCTTACTTGTAGTGCTCGGTCTAGGTGGGGCCGCACCCTTGAGGCTTGTCCGAAATGTGGAGCCCGCAGTGTCGGATGTTGCTGGTCTTGGTCATGTTGACGGAGAAAAAGTACACGCTGCTCTTGCTCCAGTACAGGGCCGGCTAGAGAGTTTTTGAGGCCCTAGACAAGATATAACACCATTTCAGATCGACATTTTTTAATATTAGTATATTTTCTGGATAAAAATGATATAAACGATTGTAACGATAATGAAAAAAATAATTCGACTAAAACACATAATATGTGCAATAAAAGTTACAGAGTTACTCCGTATATAAATTACAAAGTTCATTTACTCCTATTTAGGGCAATTTTCCGTTTAATTAGTGAGTAGATTACATATATTTCTCATATACATTATGTACATTCTCATTTCAGATATTTGTATTCACATATGCATCATTATTCACAAAGCTCTAAAAAATAAAGATATCCCAGTTAATAAAATTATATACAAGCACATCCTCACCTTTATATACTATTGTACCAACATCAAGAAAAAACAGAACGATTAACATAATAAGAAATCAACAAATAACATGAGAAACTAAAAATATTTATTGAAATAAGGACCCATAGAGTGATAAATAAATAATAATGAGTAATGAAAATTAATACATAAATGGAATTCCTTCCGTCCCACTATAATTGTTTCATTTTTTATTTTCTGTTCGTCCCGTTAAATTTGTCTCATACAATATTTGATACTCCTTCTGTCCCGCTAAAATTTGTCTCAGACACTATTCACTTGGTCAACACAAATCATTTTTAATCTCTTACTTTATGTATCAAATTTGATTCATGTTTTTGTGACTTTGTAAAGTTTTTAATGTAGTTTCTGAATATGTAATTTTTTTTTTTCTAAAAATAATTTGAGAGCGGACATGTCTGTTTGCTTTATGATTGGTCAAGCATTGTAAACCGAAATGTCTCAATATTTGTGTAGCTCTAATTCATTTTTATATTATTCTCACTTTATCAATATCAACAACATAACTCTATCCCTCTAACACTAATTAATGCTACGTAGTTATCAACATTTCTATCCCTCTATGGGACTATGGCGGTGAATGCTTGACTGGATAAAAAATGCAACCAAGCAGCTATTGACAAAATAAATCAAAGCAAGATAAAATTAAAGTCGTGATAACTGCCAAACACCGTAACTTGTCTAAACTAGCTATACGGAGTATTTTTTCATTTAATCTTTTCGCATGAGGTTTTTATCCTCTATTCGTGTGTGTGAGAGACTGAGAGGTTGATATTAGGGGTGTGCACGGGTCGGGTTCGGGCGGGTCGGGTTTGCGAACCCTAAACCCGTTCGGGTTTTTTAATTTAAATACTAGGCCCGACCCTTTGATATTTCAAATTGGGTATTTCGGATATTTTTAAGTCGGATATTTTCGGATATCGGGTCGGGTTTCGGATATTTCGGTTATATTAAAAAAAATTATAATTGGATAATTAAAGTGTTTAAATGCCACTTTGACAAAAATTGTACACACTAGTGCACTAAATTTCCAAATTACACAAATAATTTAACACAAATTGCACAAATAATTAGACAAATAATTGAACACAAGTATTAATTTAACATATTCAACGTACACACTACATAATTTAATATATTTCGCATATTTTGATTATATCAAAACACATTATAATTGGATAGTTAAAGTGTTGGAATGCCACTTTAACAAAAATTGTACACACTAGTTCACTACACATTCAATTTACACAAACAATTTAATACAAATTGCACAAATAATAACACAAATAATTGAACACAAGTATTAATTTAAATATTCAAAGTACACACTAACATATATTTCGGATATTCGGGCGGGTCGAGTTGGGATTTCACAAACCCTACCCGCAACCCGATCTAGGCCCAATACTAATCGGATTTTCGGTTTCGGGTTTTTCGGGTCGGATATCCACTTCGGTTCGGATAATATCCAAAAAAAATATCGGGTTTTTCGGGTCGGATCGGGTTTTGCTCAGCCCTAGTTGATATGAAGCACTGAAGAGGCGAACATATCCTTACTAATAGGTTACTTTCTCAAATATGGGGCCCCTCCAAAAATGGAGGGCCCAGGCAGCTGCCTTGGTTAACTCCCATTATAGCCGGCTCTGCTCCAGTAGGCTCGGATGTAATATGTGAAAAGGAAATAAGTTATCCAAATTCAAAAATTCTTCTTTTACACACTTTTGTGTACACATTATCTTACACACTTATGTGAGGAGTTATTTTTGTGTCTCTCTAAGATATATGCACACAAAAGTGCGTACAAGTACAAGTAATTTTTTGAAGTAAACGCTAAATTGAGTACATCAAGTTGTATGAGATAGAGTAAAAAGTACACTATGTTGCATTTGATATTTGTAAGTACATAAACTCGTTTTTTAGTGTTAATTGAGTACACTTGTTAAATTAACATATAAATATGACTGAGTTGGCTAAGAGAATGCCAAGTAAAAATGGGTAATCAATCACGGTTATGGCGTCAACCTTCAGGAAGTCGCCAAAAAAAGGAAAGTTGATCTTCAGAGGTTGACCTGCGGGGTACTTAATTAACACTTAAAAATCGAACTTGTGCACTTAAAAATATCAGATACAATATAATGTACTCTTTACTCCCTCTCATACAAGTGACCCTTTCCTCTTAATTTTTTTTTTATAAAAATGTAGCCCAAACCTGCTGGAGGAGTGAATGCCACTCTCGTTCGTGAATAGAGCCGTCAAAATGGGTCGAAACCCACGGGCTGGCCCGTTTAAACCTATTTATTGGTGGGTTAGGGTTGAGAATTTCTGAGTCATTTGGTTCGCGGGTTTCGCGGGTCAACCCACACGGGTTGCGGGTTTATGTGGGTTGGCCCACCGGGTTGCGGGTTGGCCCGCGGGCCAAAATATAAAAATATAGTTTTAAATTTTATTATCTTAAATATTGTTCTTTTACTATCAATATTATTATAATTACAATTAAAAATTTACAACCATGACTAATATAAATATATACTTTCTGGTAATTATTTTTAAAGAATTTTTTGTTATATATTTTTTTTTACGTTGGCCCGCAGGCCAATCCGTTTAATCCACGGCTTAGATAGATTGGGCTAGAGTTGTAGAAATTCTGACCCGTCACTAAACGGGTTGGTCCGACCCAACCCACATAAAGCATAACCCGTCAGGGATCGGGTCGGGTTGGGTCGGATTGGCCCGTTTGACAGCTCTATTCGTGAAGGATGAACAAAATTGTTGTCTGTTACCGACACGCACCCGGCACCCGTACATTTACTGATTTACGTATTCGTTATCATTAACCCCGTCTGAATTACCGTATCCCACTTGCCGACACGCCCGTCTTCTCTCTCTACACTTCTGTGTCGCATCAGAAAACAATTTTCCGGCTAATGCACGACACATTACTTCGGCGGCCGTCGGGTTCCTTTCTTTTCCATGATTCTCCCTGAGCTTAGTGGGAATTGACTACCAGTCTTAGATCGGAGAGGAAAACGAAGAAAAAGGTTAAAATTTCAAGCTTTGAAGTGTTTCTGGGGAAGAAGAAGGTTTAGAAGATGAGGCTAAGGAAACCGGTGCTGTTCTTGCTGCTGGTTACGGTTCTTGCCCCAATAGTTCTCTATACTCACACTCTCACCACTTATTTCATTACATCCTCTTGTAAGCCCCGCTTCCTCGATTGTTTCCCCGCTCTGATAATTTGTTAATGCTCGAGTAGTGATGAGGTTTTTTTGTTTTTTTTTCAGCCCGAAATGAATTTGTGGAAGATGTATCCACTTTTGTAAGCCTGGACTTGCTTGATAACTTGTTGATTTACAGAGTGTTATTTATTTTATTTTTCATTAACCTTTCTGGGATTTTTATTTTGGGACATTGCAGACATTGGGTGGTGAAATCAGGCCTTTAAATGTACTGCCTCAGGTATCAAATATGTTTAATTTCCCTTATTTATTTCCTGAATATCAACCTGGCTTGTATTTCTTGGCTGCGTAGTGATATTACCATTCCAATGGAATTTTAAACAGGAGTCTGATAATGCAATGAAAGAACCACTAGGTGTTGTGTATTCAGAAAACTCAAGATTTTCCCATTGGGACAACTCGGATACTCTGAAAGAGGAAAATGCGCGCAAAGCCAGACAGCTCTCTGAAGGTTCTTGCTTAGGCTCCGTTTTTGATAGCCTTATCTGGTTGCTTCTGCTCATTTGAAAACAAGATGCTTTTGGCTTTCTTGTTGGCTTAAATGGATGTAACCAGACACTTTCCTTAAGGAAATTGAAATTGTCATTGATAGGAGTAAATACAAGTTTTCCCTCAAATAGGGGTGCTTTTTTTCTTCTCAAGTGTGACTAAGTAATATGTACTGCCATCCGGAAATCATACCGTCTACCATCTACTGAGATCATACTTCTTGTTAATGTATGATAAGGCCATAATATGGCAATATGGTTTTAGGATGAAAATAATTTACTCCTTTTAGGACAAAAAACAAATTACTCATATTTCGGGCAAACACCTTGTGTTTTACTCCTATTTTGGGAAATTTCCCTTAAATAAATCAGCATAATGTACCATTTCAGTCAATTAAATTTTACCAAATCACTAAATGGGACCTTATTTTTTTATTTATGTTTTGAAATTATGTTGAATTCCATACTTCTATGGTTTCAATTGATTTTTTATGACACGTGATTTATTTACCAGAATTGCTAGAAAATGAAACTGCAAAGGCGTCTAATTGGAACAGCACTAGAGGATATGAAAACAGAAAGGGTGAGAATCCCATAAGGCAGGTGACTCTTGAGGGACGTGTAACACATCATGAGGATGAAAATAGGGCAAAACCCATTCCTAATAGGTCAAATGGAAATAGTAGTAGATCTCATACAAGGGAAAGCGCCCACACATCTGACATATCACCTACAAATATGGTAAGTTCATCTCATAGCTATTATAAATACAATGATTTGGAAACTATTATTAAGAAATAAAGTTGGACATTGCTTACCAACAAATACAAAATGTGTCTTATTCTATGTTAACTACCAGAAAACAAGACACAATGAGCATACTTATAAGGCCTCTTCTCAAAGGCTCATTAGGAACAACCCTAAGAGTCAGAGCAACCAAGTGGGACCGCCAGATGTTGTTATTCGCCAACTTAAAGATCAGCTTATAAGAGGGCGGGTTTACCTTTCGCTCTCTGCAACTAGTAAAAATGCACACTTCATAAGAGAGCTCCGCTTGCGTATGAAGGAAGTTCAAAGAGCAGTTGGTGTTGCTACAAAGGATTCTGAATTATCAAGGAAGTAAGTGTTCTCCTTTTAGGACTACGCTTTTTTAATTATTGAGACGACTCAATCAAATGTTATAATATATTTATGTCTATTTTCCTTGGGGAAATTTCATATTTTGGTCCCTCAATTGTTGTCAATATGCAATGAGTCCCTCATTGTTAATGTTGAACCATCCAGTTTTTTGATTGATTAAAGTTGTCAATTGTGCCTCATCCACACAATAACACCACCATAATTATGGAGTCATTCAACTTATTCATCTTTTGCAGTTTTACTGAAGCATGTGTATTATTTTCTAGCATCTCTATATTATGATGTTGACATTAGGTGTGAGGGATTCCATAGGCAACATAGATAATTGAGGGTGTTAGGGTGCAAGAAATGACTGATTGAGGGACTATAATGCAAAATCATGAATAGTTGAGGGGCCAAAGTAGTGCAAGAAATTTAAAAAATGTTATTTTGTGGTTGTAGTGCCTATGAGAAGTTGAAAGCAATGGAGCAAACATTGGCTAAGGGGAAGCAAATACAAGATGATTGTTCTGCATATGCAAAGAAGCTTCGAGCGATGCTTCACTCTACAGAGGAGCAGCTTCGGGCCCACAAGAAACAGACACTGTTTTTGACCCATTTAACCTCTAAAACACTTCCCAAGGGTCTTCATTGTCTTCCCTTGCGCCTCACAACAGAATATTTTATGTTAAGTTCATCTCAACAGCATTTCCCAAATCAAGAGAAGTTGGAAGATCCAAAGTTATACCACTATGCAATCTTCTCAGATAACATATTAGCAGCAGCTGTTGTTGTAAACTCTACTCTTTCCCATTTGAAGGTACTAATCCCCCCTCCCCCCCTAAAACATACTCCCTCCGTATTTCTTTGTTTGCAACACTTTCTTTTTTGATCATTATTTTAATCTTTGCAACACTTCCCTTTTATGGAATCTATCAAAATACCTAAATTCCCTTACCTTTTACCCTCAATTACCTTCTCTCACCTAGTGTATCACTTTACCTTCTTTCTTACTTTATTGCTTTGCACTACCCCTACTACTTTTCCCTTAAATATTGTGCCAAACCTAATGTTGCAAACACACAAATACAGAGGGAGTATTTTCTAAAATGTTTTTTTTGTCACGAATAAAGAGTCGTGATCACATAGAAGCTAATTTGGTTAGCAATTTGCTAAAAGCTAGAGTTGCTCACAAGTTATGTATGATAAGTTCAGTTAAACCAAGAAGTATGCTTCAAAAATATATTAAGTAGTACAGGACTTATAAGAGTTGTACATTGTCAAAATTAGAAAGTTGTACCTTGATCAAACATGTCTCTTTGTTATAGCCCAGAGGGAGTATATGTTGCCACACTGGCCAAAAAATTTCGTTATCTTTGTTTTTGTATGCATGCACAAATCATATGTATCTAGTTATCTTTTCTTAACATAAAATAAGTGAGAAGTAACATATATGTATGCTCGTTTTCTAAACCTCAATAATCTTGAAATGGGGGTAATATATGTCACCTACTTTAACACGTCTATGCCACTTTGGTTCCGTCTATAATGGCCTTGGAAACCTTCCTGCGCAGGATTCTTCAAACCATGTTTTCCACATAGTCACTGACAAGCTCAACTTTGCTGCAATGAGAATGTGGTTTTTGGCTAACCCCCCAAAAAATGCTACCATAGAAGTTCAGAATGTGGAGGACTTCACATGGTTAAATTCAAGTTACAGTCCAGTACTCAAGCAATTGAGTTCCCCTTCAATGATTGATTATTACTTCAGGGGCCGTCGTGCAAATTCTGATCCAAATGTGAAGTTCAGGAACCCAAAGTATCTTTCAATCATGAACCATCTTCGTTTTTACTTACCAGAGATATTCCCGAAACTGAAAAAGGTTCTCTTTTTGGATGATGATGTCGTGGTCCAAAAGGATCTTACACCCCTTTGGTCAGTTAATATGAAAGGTAAAGTTATTAGTGTGGTTGAGACATGTGGAGAAAACTTCCATCGGTTTGATCGCTACCTCAACTTCTCAAATCCTTTGATTTCTAAGAATTTTAACCCCCGTGCTTGTGGATGGGCGTTTGGAATGAATATGTTTGATCTAACTCGGTGGAGGAGCCAGAACATCACTGAGGTGTATCACTCTTGGCAGAACCTGGTAAGAAAATCGTCTCTTGTGCGTGAGTTGATAAAGTATGGAAGCAGTAATATAGTTTTTATAGACTTTGTACTATTATACTTTCTTATTCATATAAGGTTTAGGATTCCTATTGCTATTGCTACAGAAATTGCGTCCCTTGTTTCTCATATAAGCATTCCACATTTCCACTAGTCTCTAGAAATAACAAGTTTCAAGTTCGAAGCCACATATTAACACCTATTTGAGAGATAAATTATGATACATAAAACACCCTGGAGAGAAGGATTATTGGGAAAGTTCAGATTGTAAGTTTGTAACTGGTATTGATTAATAATTACGAGTATAAAGCAGCATTAGAAACTCTAGAATGTCATTTATTCTATTTGAATTAGCAGTTGTTTGCAAATTTTGCACTCTCCTTTTTACTTCTCCATTGAATAGTTTAATGTAACCTTTTTCATGGCTCTTGGAAATATTCCTGCTTTGAAAATAATAAACTATTTTGATTTGCAGAATCACGATAGACAACTGTGGAAGTTGGGCACTCTCCCGCCTGGCTTGATCACCTTTTGGAACCAAACTTATGCCCTTGATCGGACCTGGCATGTCCTCGGCCTCGGCTATGATCCGATGGTTAATCAGAAGGAAATTGCAGTAGCAGCAGTGATACACTACAATGGGAACTTGAAACCTTGGCTTGAAATAAGCATTCCCAAGTTCCGGAACCACTGGTCGAAGTTCATTGATTATGATCAAGTCTATTTGCGAGAGTGTAATGTCAATTCAATGAGTGACTCTTGATGGTTTTTCCACCTTCCCATTATTGTTTTTGTTTTTAATGTCATTTTTAGTCCAAACCCATATTGTCCTTGAACTCTTCAAACGTCTCATTTAGCCCCTAAGCTAACTAAAGTCGCTCATTAATGACACTGAGTTTCAAAGAAATAAAACTAACAATCCTGGTCAACTTTAGGCATATCATATACGAAGTACATGCTTAGGTAGTTGTTGAAAGCTTTAGTCTGACAACAGCAATGCAGGAAAAACACACCATAAACCTGAAACTTTCGGTTCCAGTTGTATCAATTTGAATATATAATGTTTTCTTCAGTGCAACTTGCAGCTTTCTTCACATGCCTAATCACATTTGTGTTTGATGCAAGTACATAAATGGCATGTCTAAAGTCGTGTTGTTTTTTTACAGTTCAGGGTCATGAATGAGTTAATTTAGTTAGCTTAAGGGCTAAATGAGATGCTTGAAGAGTTCGGGTTCAATATGGTTTTTTGTTGCTGAATGTTCTATCCCAGTTCATTTTTTAGCATTTATCCGTACTACGCGCAGGCTAGTGGAGTCTCTCTCCTTGTATCGTAGAGGTCTAGAGTTTGAATCCAACTTGTTGTCAATGCAACAGAAAGGTACCTAGACTATGCCATTGATCGCACCCTCCATTACCATTGTGTGGGACCTTCGGCACTGGGTAGGCCCTTTTTATATTCTTTATGGTACATATTTTTGTTAGTTGAGAAATGAAGTTGTGTTGATAATTTGTATGCCTAATGGATGCATCTGTAAATAACAGACTAAGCAGTGTCTCTTTCTTGAAACATTTATGTAGATCTCAGATAGATGATGCCATTTTCCATTACATTATTCTACGTATAACTTAATGTACTATTATTTCCAATTTGTAAAAACTATATTTTGGGGTTGAGAATGATGTTTATGTGCTAGTAAATAATAATATCACTGCGGAGGCAGGAAACATTTTAATGTAGGGTTTTTTTACTAGAATATTACTAAAATAAAACATATTTACATAAAATGTACCATATTTAATGTTTGTAAAATGTTTGTACTTGTATAATGTTATGAAGAAAAGCAAGGGAGCCGCTTCTTCAAAGTTTTGTATGGATTTATGTATGTTTTGAGAATACATTATTACCCAATGGTTTGTTGGTTTATGCAACATGAGTTTTTTACAAGAATATTACTAAAATAAAATTTATTTACATAAATATGACTATTCATTACTACAACGCAGTGTTGTGGTAATTTAAGTTCAAAACTTGAACATAAATTAATATGATTTCATTGCTACTCTAGTAACTAGTTATATTTTTGTAAATCATCTTTATTTTGGTCATATTTATGTAATTATTTCTATTATATCATATGGTTTATGACTTTATGGTTATATCTGTATCTTATTACTCAGTGGTCAACTGAGGATAGGATGAAGTTATGTTGGGAAATCGGTAAATTAGAAAAATGTTGTAAACTATATTTATTTTACATGGATAAATTAGAAAAACTATATTTATTTCACGGTTCAGGATATGGGAGGCCCGGAACCGGCCCGGGTAACCCCCGGGTCCGGTTTGGGCCGGGCCTCGGTCCAATCTAATTTTTTTTGGCTTCTCCTAATTAACTCCCAACCCTCCCCCCTCACCCCCAAACCACCTCAAATGGCCCAAAATACCCAGCCCAACCGAAAAACTTAAAAAAAATTCAAAAAAAAAAATTAAATTTGGCCCAGACCGGGCCCGAACCGGCAGGGCTGGTTCACTATTCCTAGGGCCCGAACCCGAACCGTATGACTAGCGGGATGGGTCGATCCAAACCGCCCCATGGCCCGGTTCCCGGGCCGGGCCGGGCCGGTTCAAACAGTGACCGGTCCGGGCCGGTTCCGGGGCGGGCCCCCCGGACCGAGTCCATCCCTAAGTCGCGGCAATGCTCGGAAAACTAGTGTTTCATTTAGAGCTTTAAAAGCAATTAATGTCTGAAGAATCCTATGCTTCTAAATTACAATGTGAACAAAAAAAACCGAACCATATCTTCCATTAGCTTACAGAAAAAGTTTGCCTAGGTAAGAGTAGCTTAATAATTTATTCATTTCAATAAAATGTAAGATAAAATTTATATAAAATTGTTTTGTTTTAATAGGATGAAACTTCTTTTGTCAAAAGATGAACTCTATTATTCTAAAGAAGATTAAGATGAACATTTTTCGAAATTCTAACCCTCCTTGAGTCCTTGTGACTAGTGCATCACATTTTTATGCAAACTACCACCGCTGCCTGCCGCTTGAACTTTCCCCAAAATTCATCCTGTGATCTAGCAGAATTATGTCACCATCACCGCCGCCGCTGAGGTTCTACACCGCTGCGAGAGTTAGTTTGATGTCACCATGAAGGGACTGACATTGGTTATGCAAGAGAACTAACGGACAATTAATTAAGTTATTTAATTAAATTATGAATATTAATGGAATGATTAGTCCTATTTAAGGAAAACCAAACCTATGGTTCTATTTTTGGGAGAATGTTATGTTCTGGTCCTATAGAGCAATTTTCTCTACTATTTCGTATTAAATCATGGTTTCGATGGGAAGATACATTTTAATAGAATAAGAAATAAGCACGAAAAATGTATTTCTGATTGAGAAAGATTTCAAATAGGGACATGTGTTTAGATTAATTTTACTAAACGTGAAAATGAAAGGCTGAAAATCAAAACAGCATGATGGACGAAATTGGTCAATATTGCCAAAATATCTAAGAATTTAGATTTTTATTTTTTTTTAAAAATGAAGTAGCTTAGAAGCTCTACACGTTAAAATTTTGAACATGAGATGATTGCATATTTGCATGTAAAGTTTAGTGAATCACTCAATTTGCGTGTAAATAAAATATACTATATATTGTTTAGCTAGTAATATTTACACACAAAGTTGTTACTGTGCTTTATAAAATGTATGCAGAATAGTTTACCATCCCGCATAAAAGATTTTAAATGGTGCACTAAGTAATGTTCTTAAAAGGGGCCTTACAATTAACATTAAATAATAACATCGAACGATATAAACATTTTACATCTTACTACACGTCCCTACACTTGGAATGTAAAGTAGTTATTATGCATCTCATTTTACATCTTACTACACGTCCCTACACTTGGAATGTAAAGTAGTTATTATGCATCTCATTTTACATCTTACTACATGTCCCTACACTTGGAATGTAAAGTAGTTATTATGATCTTACTAAATGCCCTCTAAAAGTCAATCTTCATGTATACTTGTTTTTGCTTTTCTGTTCACTTTTTTTTCACTTCTTCTATTCCTCCAATTTACTTTTTTGTTAGCACTAGGTGTTCCTATCTTTGTCGGACTAATCCTAGACTTTCAAGAATCTAAATTTTTAGAGAAGTAAATTTGAGTCACTCGAACAATCCGATTATGCAAACAGATTACGCAAAGAATGTGCATCTTTAAATTCATTTATAGTTGTTCTTCATTTTGGTTGTTTGGAACTTTTTTAGGAGAACTAATTGGTTGTTCGTCAATGTTGAATGTTTTTATTTTCCCATTATGTTTAATTTTGATCAAAGTTTATTTGTTTCAACTTTTTTTTATATCAATTTATCAACTTTGGATTTTCTAAAAATATATCCACAATTTAGAGTTTTGGATTAATTATCATGCACGTATTTGTTTGGTGATCATTAGGGATGACAATTGTGACCGATCCGATGGATACCCGCACCGAACCGCCCCGGTCAAAATGCGGAAAACTGCATTGACCGGGTAATGGGTACAGGGCAGGGAATACCCGTTTTGTTTTTACGGGTAATGGGGCGGTTAGGGTTTTATACATGCCCGCCCCATTACCCGCCCCGTATCCGCCCCGTTTGTTTTTGGTTATATTTTATTACATTTTATCTATTATTTGTCCTACAATTACTAAAAGATAAGAATTTTCTATTTCCATTGTGTATATATGAATAATAGATGTACTAATAGGCATGGCCTCGGGCCGGTTCAGGCCCGGTTCGGGCCTGGGCCCGGCCGGTTCACGGTTCAGGATATGGGAGGCCCGGAACCTGGCCGGGGTAACCCCGGGTTCGGTTCGGGCCGGGCCTCGGTCCAATCTAATTTTTTTTGGCTTCTCCTAATTAACTCCCAACCCTCACCCCCAAACCACCTCAAATGGCCCAAAATACCCAGCCCAATCCAAAAACTTAAAATAAAATAAAAAAAAAAAAAAAAAATTTGGCCCGGACCGGGCCTGAACCGGTCGAGCCGGTTCACCATTCCTAGGACTTGAGCCCGAACCGTATGACTAGCGGGCCGGGTCGACCCGAACCGCCCTATGGCCCGGTTCCCGGGCCGGGCCAGTTCAAACAGTGTCCGGTCCGGGCCGGTTCCTGGGCGGGCCGCCCGGCCCGAGTCCATCCCTATGTACTAACTATAGTGTATGAATGAAAGTTCATAATAGATCTTTATAGTCTTGTACTCTTGTTGATTACTATCATATTTTTTTCATGATTAATTATTTTTCATATTAAGTATTTGGGAAAAGGTGCAAATAGGCCCATGTACTAACCAAAAAAGGTCAAATAAGCCCTTATTTAGGAGGTTCTGTCCGGCCGTCGTCATTTGGGGTGGTTCCCGGTGGAATTTTTTTATGAAATTTTTTTATCATCTTATTCATCAAGTCTAGTTTACTCATACCAAATTTCAGCTAAAACTTCAATCGGGAAGGCATTCAAATGAATTCTTGAAAATAACTGCGCAGTTAGAAGCACAGTTATCTTCAAGAATTCATTTGAATGCCTTCCCGGTTGAAGTTTTAGCTGAAATTCGGTATGAGTAAACTAGACTTGATGAATAAGATGCTCAAAAAATTTCATCAAAAAATTCCACCGGGAACCACCCCAAATGGCGACGGCCGGACAGAGCCTCCTAAATAAGAGCTTATTTGAACTTTTTGGTTAGTAAATGGGCCTATTTGCACCTTTTCCCTAAGTATTTTTAGGTTCAAATTAATTTAGGTTGTCTTCCTTCTCCACTTATAGATATACGAAACTTTAATTTAAAGTTGCGTATGAGTCTAGAGTCTTCTAGGTAATGTCATTTTTCACCTTTTAAAACATTATTTTTATATTAAAATATCAGACTCATTTAATAAAGCGATTACCCGTGATTACTCGCGGTTATACCCGTTACCCGTTGGGGCGGTTAGCCGGTTATGGTTTGGGTAAAAACTACCCGTTGGGTAACGGGGCGGTTACGGGTCGGGGGAATTACCAAACGGGGCGGGTACGGTTATATGTGAAACCGTCCCCGATCCGCCCCGTTGCCATCCCTAGGGATCATCATCTAAAATTTTGTTTAAATTAAGTAGGCCAAAAGTGACATGTTATTATTTGAGATCAACCAGCCTAATCAGACCCAGCCCGAATCCAAGTGCCAAAAAGCCCGGACCAACCAGTTCTAATGCTATTTGCTACATGTCCTCATCCTCATTTGTGGACACATTTATTAGCCACTTCATATAATCAACATTATTTAAAACTTCATAGCTTATTATCTGGGAGACTGGGTGCCAGTCACAGGTTAAAAAGGGACAGAGAAAAATGGTGTATAAGAAAGTCAATTTTTCCGAGTTCATCATTTCAGTCAATGTGCACAAGAGTGAAATGTGAGAATACCCTCAAAGAATATATATGAAAAATAGTTGAGGTGTAATAATACATGAAGAGCAACCAGAATACAGAGATTACAATCAAGCATTTTTTGAAAAATTGCTTGAAAAGGTTGATTACATTAAAACTAAACACAGGTTAGTAGTGGGCTATAAAATATACGGAGCAATAAGTATATATTCCTTGTAAGCTTGATCTAAGCTTTCACATCTATATGACATTCAGAAAGGTGGGTGGGTGGGGTGAGGTTGGGTCATGAGGAGCTTTGTCTCCTATGGCCACCACCAACTCTCTTCAGAATACAAAGCCGCAAGCGCTGACTCAACGCCTCCAGCTTTTCAAATTTTTCGCGTCGAGATTTCTTGGCAGGGGGTGTCATCTCTGCTTTCTTCTTTTTCTTTTCATCCCCTCTTGAAGTGTCCATTATGGTTTTCCGGAATTTCCGTAGAGGTGTTGCAAGGATTTCCAATGGAGTCTGGTTAATTTTTAAAAGCAACTTAACTTTAAAAACATGACCATCCAATTCTAATAGTAGTATGGGGAGGTTACAATGAAAAAGAACATGTCACATGGCTTAATCCGAGCTCAACAGAATATCATTGCTTTGAAACCAGACCAGTCAGCTGTTCTGATTGGTTGAACCAGAAATGGGTCAGGCCAGCCATTTCGATTAGCCCAATAAACTGGTATACATTGAAACTGGCAAAACCCGTTCAAAGTGATACAAAAACATGTGATGCATTGGTGTTAACTGGTCAGATATGTTTTTTGATTTGTTCATATGTTTTCAAAATTTTAAATGCAAATAATGATTGCTTTTCAGCCAAAGAGGTAAATCATAAAGTCAAGAATATGATGTATATAAGTTGTATATTCTCCATAGTAATCTTTTCATTTTTCTTGCATAACAGGAATTTGGTTGTGTTAATTTTATTTGGACTATGTTTCAGTCACTGTTGGACCACTCAACTGGTGTCTTCACTGGTTTAATACAGCCCAGGATTTAAAAACATAGTCTAATATAGTAATATTCATACATTTTTTAATTGCATGGTACAAAACCTAACCTTCATCTTATATCAAACTATTCATCACCAATTGCATAAAAGAGAAGAGTGGGAGGGGATTGGGAGGCCAATAAAAGAATGGAAACTAAGCAAGAAATGACAGAACTGAGGGAAAGTGAAGAGATTAGATGAGACCTGATTCTCATGGTTTGTAACATTCGCATTTCCTGAGCAAGGCTCGTTATCGCTTCCAAGAGATGAGCATCTTCCCCAACTCTCCCTATTTGAGCTTGTGTGGGAGAAACAGTCCTCATTTTGACTACTACTTGTCTTGTCCCGACACTGAGTATGAAAAAGCATTTGTTAAAGGTAACTATCATTGGCTCGGAAAGGTAGATGATGCCAACAGCAAGCAAGTTTAATCAAAACTACATACAATTCAGATTGACCAAAATATTGTGTAAAAGTTTCATCCGTATTTGATAATAACAAAAAACACTAAAAGTTCCTTGGTTACTCCTTTTTTACAAGTCATCATTTGGTTGGAAATTTTTGTTTCACAATATATGTCACATTATAAAATAATTATTCCACTGTTCTCCTTTCCCTTTTACTACAAACAAGACTTTCTTTTCTGGAATGGAGGTAGTAATTTCTAGCAGTTCCAAGAAGGGGTATTAATTGAGGATAGTTTAGGTAGAGTACCACTTTTTGCAATATTTTTGGATATTTAATGAGATTTGTAATGTATGCTTAATCTTTAAACGCCAGTCGATGTCAAAGAGGGGGTGCATCTAATTCAGCATATAGGGAGGAAGTACCTGTGTGTCAGGTGGGCCATCACCATTAAGTATATCTTCTTCAACTACCAATGGATTTGGATCCTACAATTATAGTCAAGCTCAACTTTGGGGAAGAAAAGACAGATATAAAAGGAAAATCAGAAATCATTGGTGAATGACACCTACAATTACACCATAAATGGGGGCAATATCAGACAGAAGATCGCCAACAAACTTGGGGGCTGAAATGACAGGATGTACAGATGAAGAGCTGGCTGTTTCAGTGCTTCCACTTTGGAGCCCGGTAATTATCTCATTTAACAGACTCTGAGAACATAAATACCAATTATTTACTATCAGGGCTTCACAGTGATACTTCTGTTTGCTAGACAAGTTTGTAGTAACATAATTTAATGGCCAAAAAGGCAGATCTGTAATCATCTTCCCCAATGTAATTAGTTCCTCCATTCAATATTTTGGCTACAATTAGCATTCATATCCCAAGATCTACACCCAATTATAAACTAAACTCAGGTGTTCTGCCTCCATAGCTCTTATGTACTAGTATGAATTATCCAAAGCCTTGGTTTTTAGTTAACCAACAGAATATTCTGAAATTGACATATTTGAAATAGCGAGAAAACTTGGTCCATCATACATCATTGTACAAAATGGAGCAACTCCGGTGATTAAGATTTAAGACAATCATTACTCCTCACTTTCTTCAACAGAACTATACTGAAACTAATAAAGAATGAAGAATTCTTAATAACTAATTACCCCCGTGGCAGATCTTGCGATCAAATATTGGGTGTTCAAAATTAGTTTATCATTAAAATAGTGGAGAATAATATTGTTTGATCAAACAATTTCTTTTTCAATAACAAAAATTAGTAAATAAGTTTAGGTGTATGGAATAATATCTAAAAAAATACAATATATAAATTAGTACATCAATTCTATACATATATGTTTACATTTTATTTTCAAATTTTTGGGTGTTCATGTGAACCCTTTTGAATAAAAGGGGCCTCTGTTTTGGGGAAAGAGGAATATAAATTTATGAACAGCAGAAACAAATTTTTAAAATATGTGGATAGACAAATAGCTATTTAATACAACAACATCCCAAACTTAGTCCCAAAAGAATTTGGGGCCGGCTTACATGAATCGACAAATGAAACTGAAGCTAAAAAGGATAAAAAGATGAGATAAGATACAAAGGATAAGATAAAGACAAACAGTTATTCAGTAATATAACAAAAACGGATTAATTACCTCATTCATTCCAGTGTTGACTTTCACGCTCTCTAAATCATAGTACTTCTCAACCTTATTTTCTGATGTGGGTGGAAGCCTAGGAGGGCGTAGGACATTATAGAAGAAAATGGAAACAGAATCATAATAGAACTGAGGTCGAGAAGAATTGTGATCACCATCAAATTTGATAATATTTTTATCACCCTGCATTAATTAAAAACAACAGTAAATAAAACTCAAAACTAAAAAACTAAGCAGAGAAAAAACCAAGTCATATCCCAGAGAGAGCATTGGAATGTCTGCATACGGCATAGGATTTAAAGATATGATCTGAGTGGTGTGGAGGAATGAATTTGTCATCTTTAGCATGGCCAAATAAAGTGGGAATGAATGTCTTTGGTGCAACCTGCTAGTGTCATAAAATATAGAATCAGTAAGTGATCAGATAAACCAATCTCAATGTGCACTTATTATGTGACGTATAAAAGTTGTGCATGTTGGATTTAAAGCATGTATGTTCAGGGTTATTTGGCTGAAATGGCTATGAAGCTTGAATTTTCTGATTGGAAAAGCGTTCGGTAGCATCCTTTTTAGCTAAATAAGTCACAAGTTACTTATTCTGTAAGGCTACCAAAGGGAGCTGACTGTCACAAAACGACTTCACAAACTGCCCGTGACAGGCTGGTGCCTTACTTTGCTCAAGATTCAATTATTTTGCATCAACAACAAGGCCCAAACTGAAAGCTCACAAAAGTGTGATAGTGTCACACCCACCTGTAAGCAATCGAGGTTCATAATATCAAATTTTGCTCTTTTTTGTATTATCCGCCGCATATACTGAACAGCCACCTTAACCTGAGGAGGAATGGCATTAAGGTTAGCTTTGACTTTTATCATTGTTGTTGTTGTTGTAGTTGTTATTATTATTGTTAATTATAAATTAATATTCTAGAATAGTCAGTATGGGTGAATTTTAATGAGCACACAAGAAAGCACATACTCCCTCCGTCCCATAAAATTTGGCCAAAATTGACTTGCACGTAGAATGGTGAGTAAAAACTGTGTAGTTGAAATTTATGAAGAGGAGAGAGAAATAATTTTAATCACATATTTATTACTTTAAATAAAATTGGCAATTTTTTTAGGACTACTAAAATAGGAATATTGGCAAAATTTTGTGGGACAGAGGGAGTATTTCATTATTTTGGATATGACACTTCAGATTATAATGATCCTTATACATGCAATTGAAACTGAATACCAGAATAACATTAATAGATATGCATAAAATGGTAAGAGAGAAGAATTCATACTGTAAACTTTGGAAGCCGTATTTTATAGACATCCACAAGCTCCATCATTAGATCATATAAGTTGGAAAAAGCACTGTCCAACACCATTCCAGCAATAGAGGGGTCTTCAGCTCCATAGAGAAGGCTGCATTGTGAACTTTTTCAGTCTCCAAGAAATACAAGCACTGCAGTTATTTTTCTCTAGGACTTTGTGAGACTTATAAATTGCTCCCTCCATTCAAGCACTATTTTGTCCCATATAAATAGTCTACTTTGAATAAAAGAAGTTGATTTTTCATGTAACTTATATAAATGGCCTAACTAGAATCAAAAAGAAGTTAAACCTTTTACAACATTTACTCGCACCAGAATTCAAACAATGTAAATTGGTCAAATATGACACTTTTGTTGGAATGATGGTAGTAAAATTTATTTCAATTGTCACTAGATCAAAATAGTGAGGTACAATTGACAAATGAATCTGGAACCCACATGAAAGTTACATATTCAGAAGATCAACAAGTATTTGAAGTTAGAGTAAAATACCACGTTACAGCACCCATTGACCTCCCCCAAAGACCAATTCTTGATATTTTGGGATTGCTTCTTAGGTATGTAACAACAATCTTGAGGTCATTTTTCTGAAACACAACAAAACAATTACTGTAGAAACCAGCCAAATTCAGCCAAATTAATCCTTAAAGAGACTCAAGAAGCACTCAAGAAATCATACCTCATGCCAGCCAAGACTGACATAATCACCATCAGACAATCCTGAACCCGAAAAATCAAGAGTAAAGACAGTGATATGTGATGATAGAAGGATAACAGCTGCCTCATTTGCATCTGCTCTACATCCACTGCAGAAGAAAAAATATTTAGAATTTGAGAGGGAGAATATGGGCAACGATTTGATAAAAAGTGAAAACACACAGTGAATAAGTAAAAAACTAAATTTTTTTTAATAGTTTCTAACATGCCTTATAACATTGGTTATATCATCAAGATTCAAGATAGTTGATTCATTGAGTAATTTAAAAAAATAATCAGATTATACCTGTTTCCATGGCAGTATATAACACAAGGAAGAGGCGAGTCATCTGGAAAAGAAGATGGGACGTAATGGCTACACCGTAGAGTATGATCTCTATTGTTTTTCAGCTGAAAAGTTAGTTTTATTTGAGTATAGGAAGCTCAACACCATCAAAATATTGAATAACAATCAAAAGATTTGGTAATGGATGCCCATACTTGCCTCCAGATCTTGCCTTTTGTATTTACGTCCAGCAAGAGTAAAATCCTTTTCCCATAAATATTGATCTGGGTTATACTCTGCCCTGTTATTACATAAAGATTAAAGAGTAATCAATAAATTGGCAAATACCACCTATCAGAAGACACTGAAATAAAAATAAAAGATCTTATGTAGTATACTGTTATAGGTTATCCAAGTCAGCACAATACATAACTACAAAAGTTGCTTCATTGGACTACTTATTGCCTAATATTCTAATAACCTAACAAAAAGGGAAGGAAAAACATTTGACCACATTAAGTGAGGAACAAATTAAAGTCTCAAGATATACATATATCAATTATCAAGTTGTGTATCATTGGTGTTTCTGCCTAACAATCAGAATACTCAAGCAAGAAAAATAATTACCACTAACTGCTACTCCGTATATAATAAAATACGAGCAAAACCAATACCCATAAGATATATTACACTTAAATCAGAATTTGCATGCTAGAAGAGTTGTGCTTTCAAGTACTAGAAATTTTGACAATTAAACAACATTCACGCTCCCCATTTAACGCCACTAATCTTTAGGCATTCTTCTCTTTGTTCCAGTTATATTTTAATACCAATATAAATTTCAACAACAGCCTGAAAATGACATGTTTTTTTCCTTCTCTTCTGTTTTCATATTTTCCCCTCCTGTTAGGTTTCTCCCTTTAGGGATTTAGGGAAAGACAATAAGCTCCAGTCCCTAATTTTAAGATAGTAGACTGCTAGTACAATATTCATGTATCCGCCATTTCAGAACTCAGAAAAATTAAGCATAGGAAATACTCCATACATAAACACCTAAAATAACATGATATAATGTTGATATCAATATCAATTTTGCAATGAGACTGACCACAGAAACTATCTCATGATATCAATATATGCTGGCAGTTATGAAATTTCAGCTTACTTATCCTTCTTTACAAAGTTGCAACATGAAGGGAATTCGGCATGAAACTTTATTAATAGGCTTTTGCATAAATTTGTAGTGTTGACAATATGAACCCAAAAATGTTTCTAAAAAAAAACCGAAATTGTCGGGATTAAAGAAAAGAGATTATTATAATGATACAGGAAAAGAGATGCGGATTCACCTGGGTGGACGAATGACGAAATTGATGAACTGATCAATCATCTCACGGGAAATTCAACAGACTATGACCTGGGATCAATCACCTCCCATCCCAAGCCGGGAGATGGAAATCGCAAAATGCTGCAACCAGGCTACTTGAACTAACTGAGAGCTAAGAAAAAGCTAAAGAAACAGGCTCAAAACGCAATCTTTATCTCACACTGCCCCTGTGCTTCGGGCTTCACGATGTTCCACGCTCCAGATCCGCTGGAAATTAGGGCTTATGATGAATGTTAATTGAATCAGTGAGCAAAGACTTCAATATCATCACAATCCTAGTCACCAAAGATTCGTTGCGTTTGAGCACAGATTCCGAGTGTCAAACTTCAATACGAAGAACACCTCACCGAACATATGATGAACCTGGAAGTAGAAGCAGGGGAAATGCACTGGTATAGACGAGGAAAGAGTGCCGAATCCTGATGAATCTCTTTGGGGATATTAAACGAGGCAGCTAAGTGAGATCCCATGTACTGATGATAGCTATTATTGGGCTGTTAAATAACGACGACAAAGCGGCGGCCGAAGTGCCCGTTCACGTGTCACGCCATTATTATTAGATCATTTGGTCCTTAAGGCCTAATTTGATCCCACACTTTCCTAATTTATTTAAGTTTTCATCGTTTAAAGTTAATGCTAACCTCTTTGCAGAAACACAAAACTGATAATAAGTTTTCATTATTTAAGTCAAGCTTAGGGTCTGTTTGCAATAGCTTCTGCTTTTAAAAAAGTGTTTTTTTCAATGAAATGGGGAGAAGTGATTAAATAAAAGTTGGATAGTGTTTGAGAAAAAAGTGATTTTGAAAAGTAAAAGTGGGTAATGTTTGAAAAAATAAGTGCTTTTTGTGTAATAGAAAAAGTAAAAGCACTTTTGACGCGGAAGCCGAGAAAAATAAAAGTTGTAGTGTTTGGGAAAATAAGTGATTTTTTAAAGCCAAAAGTTGAGAAGTGCTTTTTTAAAAGTTGTTGCAAACCAACCCTTAGTTGTAGTCTACTCCTTGCATAGAATTCGTAGTAAGTGTCTTGCTGAGTTCCTTGATCCTAAGAACCGCCCCAAAACTTTCGAACATGTTGAGTCACTGTCAAGTTGTTCCAATCTCTCAAAGAAAAGGGACTATTCTACCGTTCACCGCCACCTTCACAAGCCTATTTGATCAGTAGCTAGTTTAATTGTGTGCACTGCCATAACTTTGAGGATGTAGTGATTAATCTTGTCAGTATTTTTGCCAGAGTAAAAAGAGATAGTTTAGGGAAGAATTTTCTTGATTGGGGCTGTCTTTTCTGTGAGTATCCCTCTAGCTACGTGTCCATGCTGACATTTTTAATTAATTTCGTGTTGTGATTATTGTAAGTCCCGAAGTTCAGTTTGCTTGAGTACAAGCAAAGGATTAAGTGTGGGAGAATTTGATAAGTTTGTATTTCAAGTTTCAACACGCATTTGATGCGTGTTAAGATCGAGTTTTGTCATTTTTCCTAATTTATTTGTGTCACAAAGTGTTTATTTAGCTCAAGTCACGGGTTACCGGGTTTGTTTATTCGTTGAAGAAAAGGAAGAATTCGGACCCGACATCAGCATTTGAGCTCAAGTTGAGGAGATTCGGGATGCGTTCGAGAGATGGCGAGAGGCATCGGAGGTCCACGGGATGATTTAGAGGCATGATTCGAGGCTTGGAAGGTCAAAGATTGAAGATAGGATCGATCGGGAGCAAATGGGGAAGAAAAGAGCAAGAAAATTGTTCAAGAGCCATCTGTGTGCCCCGCGGGTCAGTACTGCACGTCCCGTGGGTAATTCTAAGGGCTAGAAGTCAAGAAGTGTGAACTGCACGCCCCACGGTTGAAACGCAAGCTCCGCGGTCCAGAAATAGCCCCCAAGTGTGCCCGCACGGTTGTACGGTGCGGTTGGCCGCACGCCGTGCGGGCGGAGTGAAAAGTCGGCGTTAAAATATTTTCGCGCGACCGCACAGTGATCCGCACACCGTGCGGTCCGGTTTTCGCCTACTTTTCCACTTTTTGTATAAATAGGCTCCATATTTTGTTCGATTTTCAGACCGGAGCTTAGAGAGATAAATCCTATTTCGACTTTTGAGAGCTTTTTCAGTCTTGTTTCGACTTTTGAGAGCTTTTTCAGTCTTGTTCTTCAAGATTGAGGGATTCTTTGTAAGTTTCATCTTTTTAATTAATGACGATTAATTCTTTACATCCCAATTCTATTGATTCTCCAATTATGAATTGTGAGTAGTTTTAATTAGGGATTTGGGATTGATGAAGGGGTTAATCAGGATGTATGACTAGTTTCTTGATGGTTTAAATTGCATGAATCTTGATTTAATTTGTGTATGAATGATTTAACTGATATTTCTTGTAACCTAGAACAATCGTTAGAATTACAATTGCATGTAGAATGAATTAAGAGAGATCCAATTTATTCTAGGACACCTTTACACACACTTAATCGTTCGCTAAGAGATTAGTAACGAGTAAGGGGTCGTACGCTCGCTCGTTTGGGCAATAATTTTAGATACCTGTCGCATGAGAGATCAACCTCGTTTTAGTATTGACAAGCGTTGCTCAATTAAATGATCTTCATGTGATTAAGTCTGATTAGCCAGGAATCTGATTACCCCGGAATCAATCCCTGTTCCCTATTGTCATTAATTAGAAAGTCCCCTCTAATTTTATCTGCTATTCCGCAATAGTTTAATTCTCCAACAACCAATCTCGCACCATGATATTTATTTTATTTATTTTTATCACTGAATTTAGTTAATTCCTGATTCCCTTTTTCCGTCCCTACAGAGACGATAATCGTACTTGCACCCTATTCTACTACGTAATTTCAAGTGCGAGAAAACTCACATCAGCATGGATCGATCCCGGTTCCGATTCTGATCCCGAAGGTTGCCCCTGAAACCGAGACTGGCGCGAAGTATTATCGGTTCTGGTCACCCGATCAGTCCAGTCCGGTCTGGTCCAATCCCACTTTTTATGTTCATAAACCTTGCTAACGTATTTGGGCTATTCCCTACACTTATAGCTTTTATTAAATGGATTTATTTATGTCTCTTTTAAAATGATTATTATACGTCTTGAAATGTAAAAAATGAGAATATGAATCGGGACCGGCCCGGCCGATTTTGATCCGCAAAAACACTACATAGGATAGGCACCAATCTTCGACTTGAATCAGGAATTATTGGGTCTAATCTCAGGAACTAACCGGTTTCAGTCCTGAGTGGTTCGAGACCATCGGCCGAGTCCACCCCTATCTATGATGTTACATTCACAAAATTTGTAAACCAAATAATACTTCCACCACTCAATATCTATTCAATTTTTCATTAATTCTATTTCTCTATAATTTAAGAAATATTATCAAATCAACTTTGACATATAAGCACACAATTGAATGAAAAATTCTAAATAAATATCAAGGTAAAATTTTAATAAAAACTCATTGTATATAATATCTTAATCTTATGAAAAAATATGTTAATCTTTTATTTCTTATATTATTAAGTTCATAATCATAAAAAATAAAATAATGGCTAAGGTTATATGTCTTCATAAACATACGAGAATATATAATTTTTTTTATTTTTTAAGGCCAACTTAGAATTTAACCCAATTGTATAATTTACAATAATTATATTCACAACTTTATTTTATTCAAATTACAAAAATTAAGGGAAATATTTTTTTTCATATATGGTCTATTTAGGTATTGTCTAGACAAATCCATGTACTTTTGTGTATACACACAAACACCCATATAAACCGTTGTCCACTTAATTATTCTACTCACAGAGTCACATGATAATTGAAAAATTCATCACACGTAAAAATGGTTGCATGTACTATACTGTTAGCAGTAAAGAAAGCTTTTCATGAAGTGTCCATGCGGAGTACTTCGTATTTTTTACGTAGTAGTGTTTAGAAGTTGATATAAAATAAAGCTGGATAAGGGAGCCCCAATTGATTTTTTACGCCCAACGTAAAAGTGTTTGTGTTTCAAATTGTCACAAGAAACAAAGAGCTAGTTGGATATTGAGGCCATAGGGTGACTCCATTCATTTTAATTTTATTCAAAGTGGAACTTTAATATCTGTTGTTGAATTCCATTGAATATCCACATTATTGTTTAGTAGATTCACTGATTGACATCTTTGAAAAATGGGAAGAGCATTTCAATATTCCCAAGGGCAGTACTGTTATGCTGGTTATAAGAGCTGAATGGATGACCCGAATTTTGACCCTAACTTTAGGCGGGAAAATGACCTGATATTCCACTCCGGTTTGTATATAGTAAGATTATGCTCTTAGTTTATTTTGTTAATCACATAATGTGATTTTTATAAATAATTTTGGTCAAACCATTGTAGTTAATATGGTAACCTTGTCCATACAAATTGAAATTCATTATTTTTAGAAAGAATAGTACTATATATATTATGCAATCATCTCTCTCCTTAACTATTATTCACCATATCATAGTTATGTTTTTCAATGTATATTTTTTGTTTTTATGCTACACACAATATATTTGTGAGTTAGGTATCAACTTATGTGCATTACATATTGGGGGTTGTGTGTTACATATTGGTTCATTCAACTACATATTTAGGATTGTGTGTTAGATATTGGTTGTTGACTTCTTGTGCATTAAATACTAGTTATGATTCTCTATGTTCATACTACGTGCTAGATACAGATTCTTGAACGTATGTAAGTATTGTGTCTATGTGTAAGATACTAATTCATGTGTGCTATATAGTAGTTTAAGTTGTATCAAGTCTTTATTGTTAGATGTTAGTTCTTTATTATTTTGGGTTAGATACTGATTTTTGATTGAGATACTTGTTCTGATACTTTATGTACAAAATATGTGTGAGATACTACTTTTCGCCTGCATTAGATATTGATAGTTGTGCGTTAGATACTAGTTTTTAATGGTTCGAAAGCATGACCTTTATGTAGTTTGCATTGTGAGTTTTTTATTATATATTTTTCCCTTATAACCTGGAATGATCATTAAATTTATACTCATGCATATGTTGAATGTATTTAAAGAGATCTTTATCGTTCTTGAACACTACCACACACGCCTTTCTATTCATTAAGAAATTAGCGAGTGTTAGGGAGAATACGCTCACTCGTTTGGCAATGAACTATTGACATGCCGCTGAGAGATAACCCTTGTTCTTGAAATCGGTGTACTCTACTTCATGAGAGCAATAAAAACTTAATATTGATAGTTTCACTCAGAAAGTGCTACTTCAAATTTTAATAAATGCTTTATTTTAAAGCTCAGATGTCCGATTTGGACAATTTTTAAATACACGCATATTTTTTGTGATCTATTGATCACACTTAGTATTAATTTTTTTTTGGGGGGGGGGGGGGGGGGGTGATATCTAAAGGTACGTCATAAAACACCAAAAAAAGTGAAAACTAATTTTCCTAATTTTACAAAAAAAAAAGATTATTTAACATACATCATTACACAGATCTTGATAAAAAAAATATGTGGCTTAATAAAAAAATTTACTCTGATCAAATACCTAAGCGCAAAATGAAGTG